CACCTATTGCTGCCGTTCGTGGTAAGGGGTGAGTGTTCAAAAGCGATTCTGGAATTTTGACTAGACAGATGGTCCTGATGATCAAAATAAAACCACTTCTCGTCTTCAGTAACAGAATATTGTGGACTTTCACCAAACGGGGATTGTGAGGTATGGTGTGTAAGGGGAGAAGAGGTGAGTAAAATGTAACACGGAGAGACAGATGAAATGTGGGAGTAACCTGCTCCTGGTTCACTGCTCTCTTTGGATTCCGAAGCAATAGATGCTCTGCGCTTCTGTTCCATACGACGTTGGAATCGTTCTTGCACTTTGCTCAGATCTGCACAATCACGACACGTTAAGCTACAGACAGAAGCATTCAAGAAATCCTATTCACGAGTTCAGCCATAAGTTTCATGACATTTTCAACGATTCTCTGGTATCTGATTACTATGGCTGAGATGAGAACTAGGCCCCATAACCTTTGGAGAGAGGGGGAAGAGCTCGAAGGATCCCTTGTGCAAGTTGGAATGACCGTCGTTCTTTGTTCACTCACACTAAAGTTCCTTCGATGCAATAGCCCCTATCTTCAGTGAAATGATTCAATTTTTGCATAAGGGATAAATTCTGAATGCCCCTCCAAGGATATAAGTGCCTGAAACTCCTCTCATCATTTGGATCTCGTGTGGTATATCTGGAGAATGAGGTGCTCATTCCAAAAAATGTGGCCAAGAGCGAAAGTAGCGCAGTGAAGGGGGCGTGGCACTGTCATCAAAGAATCCGAAACTGCTCAATCAAAGCAAAGCTTCTGACCCCCCTTCCCCCGGTGATTACAAGTGTTCGTCTAGGAGGTCAGCGATAGTGACTTCCAACTTCAATAATTTCCTCGTTTACCAGACTAGACACCCTTTTAAATGGCTGCAACGAGCCTCCCAAAGGCAGCGGGCACGACGGCTGGGGGTGGGCGGTTGCTGCCAACGTCAGGGCGATTGGCCATACCCCATTCAGCCGTCTCGCAGACCATCCATCAATAGCGATGATAGCATCCTTCCTCAGCCATCGTGCCCACTGAAGAGAATAGAAATTCACTGAGCATCGTTGATTGTTCAAGTAGTAACCCTGGTCAACAAGATAACCAAGTTATCAGGTTATCTTTTCAACCAGGTATCGTGGAAAGGAGGGGACATGTGGACGGGATGAAGAGCACTCCAAGGAAATCAAGATTAGGCTGAAGGATGCCGTGGCCCGGAGAAGTGCGACTTCCCCCAAAAGCGAGGAGCCTTCGCTACAGGGCAAAGGAAAAAGCCGACAATTATTTAACCTCTAATTAGTTAGCCACTTTTAGTGCAAAAAAGATATAACGACTCGTGGAATAAATCATGAAACTTATGACTCGCTGAATATCTACAACAACTCCGCATCTCTGTATTGAAAAATGTCTGATAATAACCGCCACTCTTGATCTTCCGATACGAGCGTTTGGAAGTTACCTTATGGATGTTCTGGGAATGAAACTGCGGATAACCCGGATAAATATGTATTTTTTTTCAAGAATGGAATGAGCAAAGCTTGTCCATCCACTGCAAAGGCCTAGTCGTAGTAAACTTAGGTTGCAAAAGTTATAATATGTGTGTGCAGGTGCGGATTAGTCATCCCATAAACAGAGGAGGAAATAAAGAAACAGAGAAAGCCTGAGGCCCAAGACCGCTTTTGGCTGTTTTTCCTGATAACAGCTGTAGTGAGGTGACAAAAGCGCTCCTTTGATCAGTGTCATATACCACGCGGCGTTCCTTTGCTTGAACCCCGGATCGGCTCCCGTCCAAGCTAACCAAGCCTCCTATCCTACGGGCATGGTAAATTGGTACCTGATCCGTATAAGAGGATAAGAGCACTGAATTACACAACAATGGGCTACACAGATCATTGTTTAGGCATTCAATCAGCCACTAAAACTCTGAATGGAAGTAGAATGCGCGGCTCGTCCTAAAAAAGATTCAACTCACTTCCAACTTCATCCTTCATCCATAGATAAGGGTTATATTCCAAAATCAGAGCGCATAGGTGGGCAATGGCGTGAGTCACGGCGGGCGCTATCTCAGCGCATTGCGCTTACTTTCCCTTAAACGTTCTAGACATGGAGGGCAACCAGGTAGTTACTCATTACGTTCTACAAAATCGCCATCGTATATGGGCCCTCATTTATTTCGCGCTACTGCGGACCTTGCAATGGCGCAGGGATGAGGCTAGGAAGAAGAACTCTATATTATTAAGAATATAAGTGCATATAGTAAAATTCCTCTGCGGGTTCTGCTTCAGTTGGAGGCGGACCTTGTGCGAAGGGGCGGAGTTCCGGCACGAATAGGTCTCAATAAGGTCTTTAATGGGGCCTTGTTCACAGAGAACACCTTACAGTTTGTCTGATCTATTACCCATGCTATCTTTATATATATTTCCAAGACCCCTCAATGTATGTTTCGCTGGTTGATTTACCAAAACTTTCTTTTTCAGACAAGCTGGTAAAAGTCACAGCAGCCATTGCGGAGTTGTTGCAGAAGTGCAGTATGTACTACGGAAACGAAACACGACACAATAGTCATTGTTCTAGGTGCTTCACACTAGAAGCGTTCACAAGAAATAAGCCAGAAATAGATTGACATTCCGAGAAGAAGTGTCTCAGAAAAGTAGTAAAAGGAAAATCTCAGTGATTGTTAACAGGAAATACTATAGACAGTCTCTTTGCTTCTCTGAAACGATTGAACATGTCACTCACCGCTCATCTTCTTTGCCCAAATGGGTGGGCCGAGTTCGATGAAGAAGTAGTCCGACCGTTCATATTGCTCCGTATCCATGACTCCAATCTCAATGAAGGCTCTGAATAGAGTTGATAAAGATGACTGTATGAGAAAGAGGAACTGTGGTACTATACTTTCCCGGAAAGTCTCCAGCGTTCTGGAGTTTCACTTTAAACGGATCGTAACTTTTAATACTCATCGGATTTAATCTAGGCACCATTCGAATCAGCACACCTTTGCCAATGTGACAGCAGTCGAGAAATCCCATCAAAGTAAAAAACTGGTGTGGATCGAAAATTCAACCCCGCGAATGTCGAATTCACTAAAGCTTTTTTTGCTGGCGCGTCCCTGAGCTTATGAAATTTTCCAGCAAGGGAAGTTCTGAAAATGTTAGAAAAGGTGATAGTCGGTTGGCGAAAGGTCTGAAGAATATGGCGGTTGAGGTAGAACTTCAACCCCAATTCGTTCAATTTATGGATAGTGATTTGTGAAACGTGTGGGCGGGCGTTGTCATGCAAAGGAATCGGACCCTTTCTTTTGATAAGTGTTGGCTGCATCTGACAAAATTTTCGGTACAATTCGTCGATTTCTTCACAGTAGGGTTCTGCTGTGATGGTTTGGCCTGGTGATAAAAAGTTATAGTGGATCACACCAGCCGACCACCAGCCGTGACCAGAATCTTTTTTTCGCTGCGAGGGTTCGGCTTTGGAAAAAATACGCTGCGGTGGTTCGTCGAAACCCAACCACTGTCCGGAACGTCTCCTGTTATCATACATGACCCATTTTTCATCACAGGTGACATTCGGGCCCAAAAACAGGTCGTTTCTGCTGCGCAAAGCACATGCAGAAGAAAAAACCTTGATACGTGCGATTCCTGCCGGTCCAGCTCTGCCCTCTGATTGTGGGGCACCCAATTGTCGAGTTTTTTCACCTTCCCAATGCGTTCCAGACCATCTGCAACAGTGGATTTGCCAAGGCCTAGCTCTTCTGCTATCTCTCTCAAACTGTTTGGGATGGGTCAGCCCATTCAAAGATCCCGCTTAAAAGTCCTCGTCAGATATTGCTTTAGGTCGACCGCTATGAGGTTCATCTTCAAGGCTGAAATCTCCAGAACGAAATTTGTTGAGCCATTGCCGCACAGTGCTTTCTCTAGCACTATTGGGCCCCCACACCTGGTTAATTTGTTGAGCTGTTTCGATTGCGGATTGCCCCAATTTATAGTCGAAAAAAAATCGTCCGAAGTGCTCTTTTCACATGCTTGAAAAAATCTTGAAAAAAGGGGTTTATCAAGCAATGGTGAAACGGCAATTATACCATCAGATAGCGCAAGAAATTCTCTATGCTACTGAGAAGCAAGGCAGAATGAGTTTTTAATCAGCAGTGAATGTACAAAAAATAGGTGCACAAAACGCTGAGAACTTTCCGGACAACCTAATATATACTGCAAGTAAATGAGTGACATTGGTGCCTAGCCGAACTTAGAGGATTAAGGAGGAAGGGAGGGGGAAGGGGGAAACCTGACATCATGTAGTCATTATTTCCAGTCTACAGTCTACTGCGATTACAGTCTCGTTCGCTGCGGATGATGGGACTCGTCAATGGGAGGATGGATCTGGCACTGCGCCAACTCGTTCTTCTTTAATTGTTGCCGCTTGCCCAGCTTACGCTCGGTGGAGAATGGGCTAGCAGCCCGCCAAACCCAGCATCCTAACAACCATATCCGCAGCGAGCAGAATTGTACTTATATATGCGGAGTAGGGCCTGTTATTAATTCCTTCTCACAGCTGGCTCCACGTTTAAACGAAGTACGCATCGAGTCTCGCCTCCCCTCCCCCTCCTCCCCGGAATATGGGAATTTCATAATCAGGCGCAGTTCCGCTAGGTGTGGGCACGTACGGCACTCAAAGTCGTTTGCACGAGCTGCCTTGCGGAGACCTGTGAATTCCTGTAATTGAAGGAGCTCACTTGTATCACTTCACGAAGTTTCACAAGTCTACCTGTCAGTTAACATGTACTAGCGTGAGTACAAAACGCTCCCTCCCCTTTGCCCCTACTAATGAACAGGGCATTTTTTTCAACAGTTTTCAACGGAATTCTTGACAGATTCATGTAGCAACCACAGCCTCTCGTGATTTATATACTACCTCATCAATTTAAAGGCCCACGAATTTAAATACTGAACTTTAAACCCCATGCTGTAATCTAATGATTAAGCATGACTTCGGTAAGCGGGTAAGTGTTAGAGGTACTAGAGAACAGCCTTCCTAAAACCGAGACCGAATTTCTCGCCATCTTTTTCGTACATACTGTCAAGCTGGGTGAAGTTTCTTCCTCCTAGAGTTTCTTTATTTCAGAGTTCCTCAACTATCCCACCTGTATCTGGACCAATTTTCTGTCCTCAGCAACTTTCAATCCTCTTGGAACCATCTGCCCCCTTAGGGACCAATAAAGGGTCCTAATAACCCATGTGAAACATACAAATCATAACAAGCGCTCCCTCTGAATGAAGCATTCCGGTTTTTCTGCACGATACGAATTTGCAAAGCCATGTACGATTAGAAATCCCTTCTTTCGGAGGAAGCCTAGAAATATCTTTTGGCTTCTGCTCTGTTAGCTAGTATTCGGGCACTTGAGAATCCTCTTCAACAAGGCTGAGAGAGGCAAAGGCGAGGTAATGCACGCGGTTGCGGAGAGCTCTGCGGTCTTAAACACACTCGCGCCAATGCTTCTCAAGTACTCCAGTACAAGACAAACGTTGCGGCTCGAACAGTTTCTGACAATTCTTATCGGCATTCTCCACTACCAATCACCTTCAGTCCTACTGTAGACGGCGACAAGTAAAAAAAACACAGAAGGTCGAAAAAACGTTGAAAAAACTGCAGCTATCAAGTGTTCGGTCAAGTTTTCGTTTATGAAAAAAATCCTCTCAAATGAGAAAAATGACCGTTTCCGTTACCATCTATGCAATTCGCATTTTGGGATTGAATCACAAAAATTGTTAAATTATCAGTGAACATGGCTTGCTACAGCCAAGACTGAGACCTGGATCTTACTCTTCCCGGGTCAAGAGGCTCAGGATCAGGGCTTTATAGAGATCTTAACAGCAATCATGGCTTGGAAATACTTTTTGTGCCCTTCTGACTATGTAAATGTAAATGTAAATTTCAGCTAACAAATTGGGGACAGATGTTTTTATTCTTTTATCCACTCCGTTAGGAGCAGAACCAAGAGGTTGATAGGAAATTTGCCTCGGCGCTGGGAGCTTCCCCGAAAAAGGAGTCCTAATTGATGAAGTAGTTTTTCACACACCTGGTTGGTCCATGAGTGCAGAGAAAAGGGTTAAAAAAGTTAAGCAAGGACTTAATGGAGGTGACACCTGACCGCCGGTGCTAAAGATACTGCAGGTGTATTTGAAAACCCTTATGAAGAGCGGTGCTTGATGTTTCCTTGAATCTCATACCTCAGAGATGAAGAGGGAGTGGCGGCATACTGCAGCACGCGTTGCGTTTACGCATGCGTTCTTCGCAGATCATTTCCGTTGAACAATTGTCATTCTGTCTTGTGCTCGGTAGGAACACAATTACATCTTGTCTCAAACCGGCAACACTCCATCAGAAGCGCAGTAGCCGCCAGGTTCCAATGATTCGACGTCATGCCCTCTTCATCTACGGGATATATCAATCTCCGAGATAATTATTCGATGAATGCTCCAAAGATGAAAGCTTCGTGAAGATTTTGAGGGCGTGGGCGAAGGTACCAGCGCAAGCCCGAAAATCGCGTACGACACCCACGAGAAGGGGACAATGAGTATTAGAAACTTTTGACAGGGATCGTATTCGGCTTAAGAACAATTGCTCTGTTTCCTGCTTCACTTAGGTTTCTTCATGGATTTATACTATAGGATTTATGTTGGGCGGGGCAACCGTGGTAATACAATTTGAATGCGATGCCAGAACGGAACGGGACTAGAACGGCACATATAAGGGATGTTCTCGGTGCTAGGCCTTTCTGGGATACGCCATGTAATACAAGTGATTTTACTGCTACCAAGACCTAAAATGGCAATTCTTCCGAAGGCAGTGTAACAGAGGTTACCTGTTTCCTAAAAGGAACTTAGAATAAAAGACATCCAAACGTACTCAGTTTGGTTGTCATCGAAGGTGACCTCTCCTTCTCTGGCTTCGAAGTGTTTGTCTCCTATGGCAGATCCGTCGTAGGTTCTGAAAATTGATGAAGTCATGTCTCGGCCCTCAACTTGCTTGAAATTAGGACTTACTTGTACGGAATCACAACCTTTCCTCGGGCTCCTGAATGCCTTTGAACTCTGAGAGATAGGAATCCACAGCTTTCTACAACTTCGTAATGATCGTGCTCGAAAGAGAACACACCAGCGTGATCGTCATCTGAAGAAGGTCAGAGTTGGACCACATGGCGACGAGGATATGGTAGCTCATCAGGACCCTACCCTCTGTTTCGAGTACGACCCCTTTCAATTTAGATTTCCAATTTCACCTATAATCTAATCTCTTTGTTCTCAGAAAAAAATCGTGTAACGGAAGTAGGGGAGGATGAGGGTCGAACATCTATTATTCCATATCTCTATGCTTTTCACATGGATTCACAACGACAGCCAGCCCAGGAGGCCCTACAGAATTTCTGCTTCTTCCTCCAGTGACCTACATACGACAACCCCCCCCCCCCTCGTTGAGCAGCAGTCATTATAGACAATGTTCCCCGGTCAGAAGTGAAAAAGAGCGTCTTTCCGAGTAAAACCAACCGAGAATCATAATGGTAGCAGTGGCAGGCATCTCAAGTTGAGCCACTGGCAGTCCTCCAATTCGTGATGGGTCCAAAATCAGGCCATCTTTGGTGCGAACGCGAAGATTTTTCAAGTGAAGGTAGAAATGTTCGTCTTCTTCGAACACGTCGTCGTCCACGATTTCAATACTGATTTTCTGCAAAATTTACTATTCATGCATGTAGCTGACAAAAGAAGGCAGAGCCTAAATTTCCCGGTCCACTGAGGTTGTTGAGGAAGTGCTCCCTAAAATCCGTCAATTCGCGGAAAATTTGGCTATTACGTCTCAGTTATATACGTCATATGATGGACACCCCTGAGACCAAGTTTCAAATGCCATAAGGGCTCTCGGAAAACGAAAAAAATCACTTCATGTTACCTGGTTCTTGTCATCCGGATAAAAGGTGAGGGTTCCCTTGACGGGCACGTAATCCGATCCTGCATTGGCGGTACCATCTTCGGTGTAATAATCGACCATCACGGTCAGACCATCTGGTCCTCCATCCCTGAAATGACATTTCTCCTCGAATAAAATCGTTTACCAGGTCTGTCGGCATTGCAAATCCTACATGGAGTGAGCGGGGATCGTATTGAAGAATCTTGCGAGGGGAGGGATTGTATTGGGTTGCGGAATGGGGCTGTACCAGCTGGAGGGGTTAGTGGAATCAGGGGTAGCAAGAGAGATCTTGACTAACTTTTACCGTTTCTGTGTGCTAGAACCTTTCGCCCTCCGCACTCTGGTCACCTAAGTTTTCCAGATATTCGGTGGCAAATGGACGCAGAAGCAGACAAATCAGTTATCATTGGAAATCTATCACCCTGTTCGCTGAGTAAGGTGGGGCGCTCCAAAAGGGCCGTGGTTGGCGCAGCGCAGGCCTGTCTCCACCAGCGTGTAGACGATCACAACTGGTGGAGGACAGGCTGGTGCTGCGCCTGACCCAGCCTTCTAAAATGACTCAGCGTCAGCAGGGAACAAGGGTAAAAGGAGGTCGTATACGAAGAAAAGGCGGTGAGAGTTTGTTCTTCGCGAGCTTTTTTTCTTCTTCGCCACAACGTTTATTACCAGTCAATGTCAAAACTATTCTTAAAGAAACCCAGAAAAACCCCACACTGAACCCGAAACTCCTAAAATAAATACAAAATTCAACTGTTGGAACCCACCTGCCGACGACCACATCAAATGTTCCGACATTCTCGAGTACGGTATAATGTGCTGGATCAAAGAATATCTTGCATGTGTTTTCTCGTACTTGTTTCTCTTGCGCCTGCACCAACTGGAATATGTCAGACTCTGCTTAGTGGATGCGGTTAGTAGCGACAGGTTATGATCAATCATCTAGTCATGACTGTTCAAGGAGTTATGTACTTGGATTTATCTCGAGCGGGTCATCTTTACGCCTACATTCAGTTTATCTGACGGGTACCTGGGCAACAAAACTTGTTAAAGACCCAGTTGCATGCAAAAAAGTTCCTTTCTGGACCCACTAATTTCCTTTTTGGGCGCAGATCGGCGACGGGGTGGGGGCATTTTGCACTTTCGCTACTTCACTAATTCCGATTTACAATCCTAACACTGGTGGAACCTGTGTACTCTTGTGAATCTGGAGCAGTCGCGTCCAGTCACCATGGTAGAACCTTTTAACCCTTGTAAGCTCACGAAATGGTTCTTGTGGATGGGTTGTTTTCGCCTATAAGCTCATATCCCTATCGGTGATATATAAGCCCCACTCATGACAGAGTGAGGTTCAGTTTACGGAGTTAGCGGTTGTATTATTACCTATGTTACGACAATAAAGAAGCTATGACACTCGTGGAATACGGCTTCACAACAAGCGAACTACACTATACCATCTAATTTACACTTCTACCACGTCTACAGCATTGCAATCAAGAAAAAACAAGAATCGCACCATCCAAGCTGCAACAGAGAAGACCACCAGATAATACTGTGATCTTATGATTTATGTCAATTGTATTCTGTTTTTTTTCGGGCGGGAGTGTTTTCGCCTATAAGCTCATATCACTATCGTGTGATATATAAGCCCCACTCATGACAGAGTGAGGTTCAGTTTACGTGAGTTCAGTTTACGGAGTTAGCAGTTGTATTACCTATGTTACGACAATAAAGAAGCTATGATACCCGTGGTGGAATACAAGCTTCACAACATGGGTTCGTTCACGTTGTATGCCGAAGCAGCAAAAGCAGAAATCCCCCGGTCGCTGCAAACTCCCCCCCTCTTTTTGCTCTGTTTCCGCCCTGATCATGGCCCTTATGGGTCCGCATTCGAAATCGACATGCAATGGATATATTACTGAAGGAAAAGTTATTCCGTGCATAGAAATAGAAGGCGATATATGAAGATATATTCGTACCGCGCGTCAACAGCCTTATTATGTTCCTTATCGATTCGCTTCTTCACGATGTCTCCACCTCCGATTAGACGTCTTGTCGCCTGTACTCGGTAGAACGCTCGAGATTTTGGACCTCTTTGGAATATTTAGCATCGCATTTGACTTCGATGACAGAATTAAAGTGATCACGGCTTGAAATCTGCGTCTGGTTTTCTTGCCACACATTGGCTCACTAATGTGGTCGTAATTTGCTCACGTGCAGTTTCGTGCAGAAATTTGCCGAAATATCAAGCGTAAAAGGTACAAGGGCTTTGTCTGTTGGAAAACCTCACAAAAAACGCCTTTTTTATTAGACACGCAATTGGTGGGCACGGGGCGGAGCCAGCAACGTATGCTTGCGCCCCACATGGCGTGACGCCTTGTAATGTGGTGCGTTGTAGGAAGAAAATCATAACTCAAGGTGTGAATTCGCGACAGCGAATGCGTTCACTTAATAATGCGGCTTTACAAGTCAGACTCCGATTGATTTTCTGCCTTTATTTCAATGTTTCTCGAGAACATGCCCGGGAGATTTTTGGATGACGATACACCAAGAAACAGTTGGATGCTGTCCTGCCATTACAAGCTATGGCAGTTTCCGCGAGGACGAAGGCTCTGGATGAAAACCGACGCGGCTTTTCTTTTTTTTCGGAGCAAGGGCGTATTTCAACCAGGTTTCCAAGGAAAAAAGAAGGTTACGCTAATGCCGCAAGATGCGTTCAAGCTAACAAGTAAGTACAAATGTACAGTAAGAGTAAATACAGCTGTGAGTACAAACCTGGTGATCATCTCGTATTCAGCCTGTTTCTGCAGCTCCGTAGGTGATATATGTGGGTTCTTCTTTCGGATCTCCCTCATCAGTTCGATGAATTCACGTCTGTGCTCTTCGAAGGCCCGAACCGCCGGATCAACAAAATCTGGCTTAAAAATAATGCATTGATCTAAATTCTCTGATCTTGCTGAAGCTGCAGAACCCCTTGCAATTAAGATGATTACGATTGGGCATGAGCGTCAGCTCAGCCAACCCTATAGGGTGACATCACACTTTCTTCAACGTCCAAACACTATCACGAAACAACTAACATCCTGGGGTGCAGTACAAAGAAATAAACATAAAAAATGCAGGTGAGAGAAAATCCAAAAAAAAAATGGTTTAATCACCCAATTGCTGGAAAATCTACGCAATGAAAGCGACACTGCGAGTAGCCTCTTTTCCTATGCTCCCACTCCAAGACTGACTGGTTTGTCACGTCAATAAGTTAAAAACACTGGCTAGATACTGCACATGACCGCAACGCGGATCTCCTAACCGGCCCCTCGCTGACTATGTTGGCAGGAAATACAAGCTTTTTATTGCCAACCGAGCTTCCCTTAAGCCATACCTCGAGAAAAACTTTAGCCTCATTCATCCTTTGCGCTAATCCGGGATCAGAATAAGAGGTACCAGATTACGCTGTAGCATAGATCCCAGAGCAGGGCACATCGTACGTTGAGCCCAGCAAAGGGGAAGAGAGTCGTATTTTTTTGTTTTCTAGGAAAACGTTCTTGGCTGATGACTCCTACCGGTTCTTCCCGTTTCGCGAGCGCTACATAAATCACTCGACAGCACTTTTTCGGGGAAGGAACTGGAGAATTTTCAGAAAAAATGCTGAGGGAAAGTGAGATCTCCTCTACTTCTGATGTGGTTTCTCCCACCGGGGTACATCGTCATTCCCCAGCAAGGCGGTCTTTCCCGTACGCTGTAAACCCCATGGGCGCTGTTTATCGACGGGGAGGGGGGCATTTTGTATTATAATTGCTTCCCTGGTTCCGGTTTACAAATCTCACTCTGGTAAAACTTGTGAACGCTTGTGAAGCTGGAGCAAGATCGTCTAGCCACCATCCTAAAACGTGTCAACTCGAAAAAGGGTACCTAGATGGGTTGGCAAATCTATGAAAAGCAGAATGCCCCCCCCCGTCGATAAACAGCGCCATACCTGTGCTAATCCCACCGCCGTCCCCCCTCCCACCGCGTCGATTCGCTCCGACGAGGAGGTGAAGAAGACTAGGGAATCGTATCAAGCCAATCTGAGTGGCAGGGGGGGGAGTCGTATCGGACCGACCAAAATCCCCAAGTATGATGTGCCATGTTTCCCATGCACCCCTTCCCTTCTCCCTACGAGACTTTCTGGCCGAGGATTACTTGAAGTGGCCACAACGAGGTTGGTGAGGCAAACCCCTATGAATGATGAGAGCCCTATTCGAGGGGGTGAGAGTGGGGGTTCTCTAAGCACCAGTGCCAATCTCATAAGATTGCGAGGTTTTTCTCTAGCCAAGTCACAAGCCATTGGTATTGTTTTGAACTGCACAAATGATTTTTAAAGCCACCCTTCCAAAACTTTGCGGAACGATCTCCTAGTAAATGCATTCGGATCTTTCTAGTCTTCCGCACTCACCATTAAGTTTCTTTTGATGAAATCTTCACCTTTCATTTTCTTTTTTTCTTCCAAGCCTTTTTTGTGATTACTTCCTAAAGTACGCATGTATCCTCAATTTAAGATTTGGTAGAGTTCCTTTAATTTTTCTTCCGGACGAGAAGACAGCAGTCAGTGCAACTGAACCTCATGTTAGCCTAAAGACTTGGGGGGGGGGGGAGGGGAGGGAGTGGTGTGAATCAGCCGATGCAGTGTACTGTAAGGCAATTGGGAGAGTACTGTAGTGTACGGTAGGGCCATCTTGCACCTTCTCACGTTTGCCCTTGAGTTCACCTCATTGAACTGTTTTCGCTAATTGCTGACATCTCGCCGACAACTTCACTTCACGAAAACAGCACTTAGAATGTGGCAAGGACTAGTGTAAAGAGGTGAGGTGCGAGGGTGAACTCTACACTGCAGCGCTCCTACACCACCCCCTCTCCCCCCCCGCACACTCGATTCACTATTTATATGTACGCTAAGCAGGGCACAGCGTCGTTGAGAGAACCCCATCGAAGATTAGCGTTCGCTCTTGGGGTTGTATTTTCAACCGTTGGAGGTCGTATATGGCTTTAAGGAAATTGGAGAATTTTTCGGAGCCTGAGAAAAATTCTTCTCGCTTATGCCCCACAACCGCTGTACGAGCTACTAACCTTTTATGGTCGATTAGTAGTTGAACTGGTACGGCCGTACCCTCCAAGCTCTACTTTTTTGACGAACTAATAATTATTTGCAGGAAAGTTAGTGCGGTCGGGAAAAATTGAGAGTGTTCGGTAAGATCGGGAGTGGGAGAGAAAATTTTAGGAAGGGTCGCACTAATCCATTTCACCCATCCCTGTTACCTGACCCTAAGTGAGTTTGCCGTGGCCCTGTAATCGTATACACCGCAATGGGTCCTAACGAAGACAGCGACGAAACAGAGCTCTTTGATAATCCCACCTGGCTGAAGTCCTTGTAAGCCTGCGTGATTCCATTACTCTCCAGCATTTTCAGCTCTTCACCCTCAGTGGCGATCATTCCGTGAGATCCACGACGATAGCGACGAGGAAGGAATCGAGTCTGAAAATGGAACAAATTTGTCCGGCAGAGTCCTCATGAGGAAGTTTCAAGTCACCTGAATGATTTTGATGTCAGCAATCCAGGCTGTTAACACGGTAAGTGGGAAGAAGGCGAACGTCAATAAACCTTCCCAGATCTCAATTTCTCCTGGTGATATCACAGCCAGAATCACATACATCCAAATATAAGCGAAAATGGACCTGGAATTCAGTATAAATACCGTATTACTGTAACGTGCAAGTATTCATATTGCTATAATGTTCCAGCAAGTTCAGCGAAATGAGAGTGTGGGCTGTTACCCATACATGCACCCTTGCTTTATCTCCATCTAGGACCTATATCTCACACAAATTTGTACAGATATTGACACCGCCCACTTGATATTGCCCAACAGTTGAGGATTTGGTCCGATTTTGACTCAAGCTTCTCACCAGGAGTAGATTCTGTCACAGATTCATCTCCATAGGTAGCAACCACCCGAATACGAATACCACACGGGTTAGACAAGGCAGCGATTGATTCTTGAGCGAAGGATCCCGACGCTACAGACTAATTCTATGGCTGGAGCCCATATCACACGCGGCAGACTTTCCTGCTGCAATCAAATAGAATATTCGCCCCATTCGGGTGGTGGGGAGGGGGGGGGAGGGGGTGGGTCAACTGTCCCTGAAGACCAGTATGATTTGGTGATTTAAGGCGTTTTGGCGAGAGCGTCAAGCGTTATCTTTAACTCCTGCTAAGCTGGTGGAACTACCAGCGCTGAGAAAATAACCGGACCTACTTCAGGGGCAAACTTGTCATTCCGATCAAAATCTGGCTAGAGTTTCAGCAATTAAGCCAGTAGAGGGCAAACTTATGCATCGGCGTTGATTTTATGAGCGGAGCATCGATGTTAAATATCAATGAGCACGTGCTGAACGGGCCACTTGTGTGTAGGATTCCCAGCGTCAAGTTCAGCTGCAGCAGGTTTTTTGGGACCTAT